ACATCGGCGGCTGGATGTGTGCATCAGCTTTCAAGAAGAATGTTGGCCAACTGTTGGGCTGCTGGAGGCTGGCCAGAAAGGAGGCAGTAACAGCTATCTAACCACAGAAAAGAGGACAGAGATGGAGAGATTCAAAATGTCCTCAATGAGTAAAACTGAAAACTAAGCAAATAGATGAGAACAGCCTTCAAATGCTAAGATACAGAACTCATCTGTATGCTCTTCTATGAAGAAAGACTGAGAAAGGTGGGTTGGTTCAGCCTGGAGAAGAGAAGGCTAAGGGGAGACCTTGTTGTGGCCTTTCAGCACTTTAATGGGGCTTATAAAAAAGACAGGGACAAACTTTTTAGTAGGACCTGTACCAATAGGACAAGAAGTAATGGTTTTAAACTAGAAGAGGGTAGATTCAGACTAGATATAAGGAAGAAGTTTTTTACTATAAGGGTGGTGAAACACTGGAACATGTTGTCCAGAGAGGATGTAGATGCCCCATCCCTGGAAATATTCAAGGTCAGGTTGGATGGGGCTCTGAGCAACCTGATCTAGTTAAAGATGTCCTTGCTCATTGCAGGGGAGTTGAACTACATGACCTTTAAAGGTCCCTTCCACCCCAAACTATTCTATGATTCATGTGCTCTGAATTGGATGCAATGCTCTCCTCCACCACACACAGCTTTGATACTGAATTTAATATAGACCTGACTTAAACTTGGACTGACACATGTCTTTGAGAAGGCCATGGTCCTCGGTAGCCTGAGATTTGTATTGATTCAGGCCTGCTTTTCTGGCCCATGACCTTCACCTTTCATCTGCAGGACCAGCTGTTGCAAAGAGAAAACTTCCTACCCCTACTCTCATTCACCTTCCCTGTGAGCTGTCACCCACTCCTACCCTCCATTTATGCCAGGGATGTTCTCTCCTTGTCCTTGTCCATCTCCAAACACTCTTTTTTTGACATCGCGAAGACGAAAGAGGTGTTGCAAGTAGTCTCTGGGTTGTGCAGTCTAAGCAGAGGAGTACCTCAGACCTGCACAGACTCTTGTCTGTCCAGCACGCACTCTCTGGGATCAAAGATATTCCTGTGTGTCTTCGGTGGTAAAGCGTATTTGCTGTGTGTTCAGCCAAGCTATTTTGCACCCGCCCCTGAGCTTTCTAGAGACAATGCTGAGCAATGGTCCTGTGGGCCAACCTTGCCCAATGCAAATGCAAAGCGAGGGTCGAAGATTTTGCTAAATGGTGGAGGGTGCGGTGCAATTCTCCTAACATCACATCACCTTTCCTTCAGGATATCCACCTCCTCAGCCAACCCTCGGGCATCTTCACCCTTAGACATCTCCAGTATGGGTGTCTGAGCCTGACACCTGACCGTAACTGCTTCCTGGAGTGCTTGGTGATGTCTACTGAGCGTACAAGGTATCTAAATGAATTTTCCAGATAGAGAAGTTGGCACGAGGTAGCTCCCACCCATGACAGCAGCAGCATCAAATCTCTTCTCAGTCATGTGACTATCTGGTGATTCAGCATCGTAGAGGACCTGGGAGCCTGACTGTCCCATCCAGGTACAGAACATCTTGTAGCCTGCACATCTGGATTTGTCAAGACTGGGAAGAGGTCTCAGACCAACCAAAGAAATAGCTGGATGGTGAACACACAAAAGCATTGCAACCAAATTTCAGGAAGAGGTCCTGTCTCTCGGAACAAACATGGCAGAAAAACTGGAAAAAACTTCCACTTCTGGAAGATGCTGCTTTCAGCAGTGGGAAGAGGTTTCTTACATCTGCTTGTGCTGCGTTAGCGGCATGGGATCAGACCTATTTCCCAGCTAAGCCTGGGCACCGATGCCCTATTCCTGCAGCTGCCTGAAGCCATTCCTGGAAGGCAACTTGCAAAACCCTGTCTCGCCTCATCTCTGCCACTGATGGTCCAGAACCAGCTGTCCTGAGACGACTTGTTTGCTTAGCAGATTCCCGAAACAGCCCAGTTTCACAATCCTGCAACTTACGTGATGCTCATGGCACAAGAGTTGCTTCCCGGCAGCGGCTTGGTTTTTCGTACTTGCTGAGCACCTGCCATGGCGCACAGAGGGAGGTTTTTGGGGTGGAGGGGAGGAGCCATGACAACGGGGACTTCTCAAATAGCCAGTCCCTTGGGTGCATGTCGTGCCTTCTCCCTGCCCTGGTCTCCCGCGAAGACAACGAGCACGCAGTATCTTTGCTACCAACATGAGGCTTGTCCTCCTGGCAAGTCTTTGGGGTAAGTGAGATGGGATTTTTTTTCTCTTTGCTTTTGGCTTTGTATCTCTTCTTTGCCTGTGGTTCTCCTCTTCCACTATTGCTTCTTCTACAGCCCACAGCACAAAACAAATGGGACGTTGTGAGAAACTGAAATGCGGTTGGTGGTATTTGATCTATATCTGAGTGTGGACATTCAGATCCCCTGAGGTGTCACGAGACAGCCACAGGTGGACAGCTGGATGCTGCCCCACTTTGACACCAATACCTAGACACCTTGAGAAATGTCTTGTTTGGGAACTGAATCCCAGCCCACATGAGCAAAGACAGTAGCACACAAAGTGGGGTTCCCTGCCTCTGTTTCTCTGCTGTGGGTTCATAACTTGTGTGTGTTCATAGACTTATAGAATGGTTTGGGTTGGAAGGCACCTTTGAAGGTCATCTGGTCCAACCCTCCCCTGCAATAATCAGGGATATCTTCCACTAGATCAGGTTGCTCAGAGCCCCGTCCAACCTGACCTTGAATATTTCCAGGGATGGGGCATCTGCAACCTCTCTGGGCAACCTGTACCAGTGTTTCACCATCCTCATTGTAAAAAATTTCTTCCTTATATCTTCCTTTGTTCCCGTGCATCAGGGATGAGACCAGAGCTGGTGACAACAGGCAGAGGCACTGACCGTGCGCGGTGGCTACAGTACGTGGGTGGGTAGGCACTTCAGGCTCCCAAGATGATATGTTGTCTGAAGGCAACTTGAATTTAGAGAGAAGGGGATAACCATGAGGCATCTCAGCCCATAAACCTTAAAAATAGCTAAAAAAAAGGGACAGATGGAAAAGGCTGACATGGGCAATAACTAATGCTTGCCCTAGCGTCAGCAGTTCTGCCCTTGCCTGAAGCTATTGGTCAATGCTTGGGATCTTGCCAGGCCGCTGCATGTAGGAGCAGAAGTTGTTGTTTGTATTGAGCTCTTCTTTGCTGTTGACCTTCTACAGTGAGCACAAAGTCCTCTTCTGCTGAGTTTCCAGGAAAAAACAGGTGCTGGCAAGGTTTTCCTCAGGCTTTCCCTCCCAGGGTTTGCCTCAACCTCTAGTTAATCCTCAGGGAAATCTTCTAAATGGGAATAACCTCTTTGCACAAGTTTCCGGATGCATTTCACCTTGATGACACTTCCATGCACAACCCCATTAGCAGACCCATAGCTGTTCCCGTTGCATTTCATTGCATTAATGTCTGCAGGACTGGCATCTAGGAGCCTAGATAATCTAATCTAGTCTAATCTAATCTGTCTGGACACTGACTTTCAGGTGATTCAATGTGGTCAAGAGGAATCCTGAGTGCTCTGTTACGGCGTTTCCACATTATCTGCCCAAACCAATACTTTTTTTCCAGTAGACTATTTTTTTTAAAAAGTTTTCTCTCCTTGTCTGATCTCTTTATCAAGAAAGTCCCATGGACATGCACTGGGCAAAGCCCATTGTCAGCTGGGTTTGGGAGATGGAGAGCAATGATGGGCTCTAGCAGAGATCACAGAGTCTCTTGCATGGTATTTTGCTGTCCTGAATCTCTGTACTTTGCAGAGCTCATGAGACTCAGACTAACATCCTGTATTTCTTCTGTTTCAGCTTCCTTTGCCGGAGTCCTTCTGGCAGGTCAGTATTTGTAGTAGAGAGTGGAGCATGAGTCTCCACACACAGCTATCGTAAAATGTCATGCAGAATGTGGCCATGTCTGATCTGGACATTTGAATATGCTGCTCGGGGCCAAGAGACCTTGGTCTGAAACCTATTTCTGTGACCAGTGATCTTCTTTCTGTAAACCACATTGTCCTGATTCCGACTCCGGCCTGACTCTACCTCCTGTGTGCTCTGCAAGGTGCAGTTGCTGTCTGCTGGAGATCGCTGGGTGAAAGGAGAAGTAGTGATCCAAAGCATTGACAAAACAGCTGCTCATTTTAGCAAAGTTAAACCAGAAGTCAGGATGTCCTTGATGCTAAGGTCTGATCTCCATGAGAAAGAGGAATGCCTGGTGTCCCCTTGGCTCCATGAGCCAATGTGGAGGTGCTTCCGGCTTTCAGACCCTGGCACATTTGAGTCCCTGAATTTCTCCCACTACAGAACCCCAGGTCCATGCAAAGGGATAACGCTATACAGAGAGATTTGGTTCTTGGTATTAGGGTGGCAAAAGCATTGTGATTGGAGGTTTGGCAACTCAAGCCAGGTTTTGAGAGGGATTGTGTGTCCTGGTGGTTTCAACAGCAGGAACAGGACTGAGTAGGTCCTTTCCACTCCTGAGTGCTGACTGCCTGTATGTCCACAACAGCACTCAGCAATCACTGCTGATAGCTGAGGAAACTCAACCATTCCTTTGGGGAAAGGGTAGAAATGTCTCAATTCTCTCCTACCTGCTCCCAGTCCTTGTAGCAGCATTTGCTGGAAGACACTGGGGAAGCTCTCCCAGAACCTGAATGCTGGGGTGGGTTTTGGGGGAGCTACACTTACCCCTTTACATCTGAAAATGAACCCTGTGATTTGTATCTCATAACAGACTTATGGTCCCACAAACACCTGTGGCTATTGGCCATTCCCAGCTCAAAACCCAGTTTTCAAACACCAAAGATTTGAGATGTTGGAATACCCTGGGCTTTTCTTCCTCCTGGTTTGACAATAAAGACAGCCTCACTGGGGAGGAAGAGCACTCTTTCTCATTCCCTGCATTCACCCTGGGATCTTTGCTCTCTCCAGAAGATGCAGACACAGCGAAACTGGAGATCCGCCTGGTGGATGGCCCCAACCGCTGCTCCGGGAGAGTCGAGGTGCTTCACAAGGACGTCTGGGGGACCGTCTGTGATGACCTGTGGGATTTACGGGAGGCAAGGGTTGTGTGCAGGCAGCTGGGCTGTGGGACGGCTGTATCGGCCCCTTGGAATTCTAAATACGGGGAAGGGAAGGGCCAGATCTGGCTGAGCGACGTGAACTGCACAGGGACAGAAGCATCCCTGGCTGAATGCAGGGCAAAGCCATGGGGAGACAACATCTGCAACCATGTGGAAGATGCCAGCGTGGAGTGCTCAGGTAAACCCCAGGTGTTTTCTACTTCATGTCACTTTTGGCCTTCTGCCTCAAATAAGCCAGGGTGCAATTTCTGACTCATCCAGTTAGGAGGTCAGGGATGCAGAATGACTTTGTTCAGCTCCAGCTTCCCACCCCACTTGACTCAGAGAAGTTGCATCACAACTTCTGGACCTCGAGCAACCTGCAGAGCTGGGAGAGGACACAGGACACCCTCCCTCCCCTGACGACCTCCATGCTAATAGTATTTTCCATTCAACTTTTTGTCTCAAGCCAGAAGTTAGGAAGGGAGCCTTTGACAGGCGTTTGTGATGAGCAGAGGCAGTATGGTGCATTATGGGAGATTCTGCTTTCTCCAGGTGACATGGGGCTTGTGTCAAAATTTATCCCTTGTTTGTTTTTGGCAGGAACAGAAATACCTGAGCCAGGGCCAATCCGGCTGGTGGGAGGCCCGAATCGATGTGCTGGGAGGGTTGAGGTGCTTCATGAAGAACAGTGGGGCAGCGTGTGCCATGACAGCTGGGATCTGAACGACGCTCAAGTTGTCTGCAAGCAACTGGGCTGTGGGGATGCGGTACTGGCCCCCACTAAAGCCACGTTTGGACAAGGGTCAGACACCATCTGGCTGGATGATGTGAACTGCACAGGGACGGAAGCTGCGCTCTCTGAGTGCCCGGCGAGGCCATGGGGAGACCACAATTGTTACCACAAGGAAGATGCCAGTGCAATTTGTGCAGGTAAACCTTCTGTTCTCCCACTTTTGCCAGCCATGCGTTAGGGTCTCCTCACAGTCAATGTGGGCCCAAACTTTGACAGGAGCAAGGGTTTCATACGGCGCACTCTCCTTCTGAGTTGATGCTAACCTAATAGTCCTGCTGGTGGCCTGGGGTTCTTACACCACTGAAGAGGGCTTCAGTCTAGGAAGTTCACTCCTCCCTGCTCACTGGGGTGCTCTGTGGCCATTTTTCTTCAACTCAGACCTGAGGTGAAGACTGCCATTGTGCTTTTTGCTTGGACAGTTGCATGTTATGTGTGGAGAAAGCTATGGAGAAGAGGCTACTGTGTGCAGGGCAGGGTGGGGATGCTTGGGGAAGTGGGAGGACACACACCAATGCACAGCCTGAGCATGCCCTCTCTGGATATTCCTGCAGACTCAGGGATCACCGTCTCTACTTCGGTCCGCCTGGTTGGTGGCCCCAACCGCTGCTCTGGGAGAGTTGAGGTGCTTCACAAGGATGTCTGGGGGACCGTCTGTGATGACCAGTGGGATTTACGGGAGGCAAAGGTTGTGTGCAGGCAGCTGGGCTGTGGAACGGCAGTGTCAGCCCTTCCAGAGTCAAAATATGGGGAAGGGAAGGGCCAGATCTGGCTGAGCGACGTGAACTGCACAGGGACAGAAGCGTCCCTCACTGAATGCGAGGCAAAGCCATGGGGAGACAACATCTGCAACCATGTGGAAGATGCCAGCGTGGAGTGCTCAGGTAACCCTTCCTCCATCCCTCATCCTGCGCATACTGGCTGGTAGGATGGGCAGATCCCACCACACTCATGCCCCCTGCCTGAATCAGGTCTGCTGGTGGGAAGAGGAGAGGGAAGCAGCTGATTAATTCATCGCATCACTGGGTGCGGTGCTTGCCCAATGACCCAGGGAGGACCTGTGGATGCAGCTGACACAGGGGCAGCATTAAATTCTCTTCTACCTGAGACTGCTCTGGTCTTCTCCCACCTTTGGGCTTCAGGGTGATTAGCATCAGCAGACTCCTTGAAGCAGACACACAATCAAACCTGCAACCATCCAAGAAGACAAGAAATTCTTCCCCCTGCCCTATTCCCGCAGCCCCTCTCCCTGGGTTTTCTGTCTTCCTTCCCACACCAGAGAAGCTCAGCCCTTGCCAGATCTTTTGTGTACTCAGAGACACCTGAGCCTCTGCTGAGCAGTCAAGCTTTCCACAGGTGGTGGGATCTATGGGATGCTCCCTTAACATTTTTTTTCCGGGCATTGGTGCAGATGTGGACATTCCTGATGATGGGCCGATCCGGCTCGTGGATGGCCCGAACAAGTGTGCTGGGAGAGTCGAGGTGCTCCATGAGAGCCGATGGGGCAGTGTGTGTGATGACCAATGGGACATGAAGGACGCCAAGGTGGTGTGCAAGCAGGTGGGCTGTGGGTCACCGCTGTCGGCGCCGGGAGATGCTCGCTATGGTCGAGGACCAGACATCATCTGGCTGGACGATGTTGAATGCGATGGGACAGAAGAGAGCATCTCTGACTGTCAGGCTAGGCCATGGGGTGAACACAACTGCTATCACGGAGAGGATGCTAGTGTTGTTTGTGCAGGTAACTACCCATCACTGTGGCATCTGAAGTGATGTGGGGACAGCGTCAAACACTTCTAGCAGAGCCAGCAGGCTGGGCTTCAGGGTACAAAATGGGAATCACAGGGCGGGAAGGCTCTCCCAAGCTCAGGATAATGCTGGTGGAGGCAGGGAAATGGATACAGCAGGGAGCTGTAGAGCATCTGGTTGGGATGGGTGTGGTGGGACCAGCTGGTGGGAGAGGGGCAACAGCAGAGCAGAGGCAAACACGCCAGTGTCAGTCTGACTATGGGATGGATCCTGCTGAGGAGATGCTGGCAAGGAACTTTTGTATAGGGCAAGGCTCCTAATGGGCACAAAGAGGGAAGGTAGGGCAGTTTTTAGGGCAGGAGGTAACAACGAACATCCATGGGAAGTGAGGGGAGGACAGTTGGAACGGTGTGTGGGAAGAGATGCCTCTGTATTGGTACATCATCAGTACTCAATAAATGTCTGAGTTCGACTCTCTGAAGCTCTTGGGAGCTGAGTTCCTGACTTTTCCTGCCCTGTTTCTTGGGAGACAAGCTTGCACAGGCCCTGCGTGGGTCAAGGGAGGAATCCCTGGGGGTCTTTGGCTGGTGTCATTATGAAGGAGCAGGGCTGTAGGGGCTTGGATTTCAGCTGGGTGCTGCACAGAGTCATGCTGTCAGGACCATGTGCTGCAGTCCTCTGGATCAAGCAGTGCATTGTGCATCAGGGCTAGAGTCTGCTCTTCATGCAGTCCTGTCCTGGCTCCCACAAGGCCCTGTCCAAAGCTCAGATGCTGAGTTCGTAACAGCCCCAAATATAAGGGTATAACCCAAGCCACAGACCTTCTTTGAGTCCTTGTCACTTCTGGAAGGGAATTCTGGTGTGAGAGAGTTCCTGGGAGTAGATTTTTCTTTACCTTGTTCCTTTTCTCTGCAGTTAACAAGAACCTGGAGGAGTCAGAAGCATCATAAGTGCCAGACTGGCCCCACTGGACTGTGCTCATCTTGCCACAGGAAGATGGGCCAGCAAGATTCAGCTGAGATAGTGAAGGGCAGAGGTGTTTCAGAACCATCAGTGTGCCATAACGGGATCCAGAGTTTGGCAAAATCATTCTCTCTCATCCTTTGAAGGATCTACAAACTTGGTTATAACTGCACTGGTGGAAAACCCAGCTCAACATATTATTCCCACTGAAAGGCAAACATCACAAAGTATCAATAAAGTTCCCCTAAAACTGAACATCTAGCTGTCTCATAAATTGCTGGTGGACTTCTACTGTCTGAACGCATACCTGGCAATGAGCTGTTTGTCCAACATGGTGAATATTTATGTGATGATTGAATACGATGAATATTTATACCAATGGTAGGACAGCATACCATTTCCCAGGTCTGCAGAGAAACATTTGCCTCACTGACATTCAGGTCAGTAACAAGGGCAGCCATAAGATCCTTGGGATGTGAACATCGCACAACACCAGCTTAACTCTGAAGGTTTGTCTGTCCTGCCTTAGAAGGGACCAAGGGGAGCTGCCCCCACAGAAAATTTTCCTCCATCCCTCTTTCCACAGACTAAAGCTGCACTTTACAGGTGGATAATTTCCCATTTCAAGGATGTCCAATCAAGACTTAGCCTCCAACACAGAATTTTTTCAGTGATTTGTTTTTTTCCAAAAAGCAATGTGCTTCGTGCCTGTCAGCACCACACAAATACTTTAATCCCAATGAAGCGGAGAGCAAGGGTCTTTAGTTCAATATTGGCACTGGGTTTCTCCAAGTTAGTTGGCCAACTCAGTCTAGTTTTATGGGAAGGACAGATAACTGTGTCTTCTCCCCCACCTCCCCTCAGACTAGTTCACCCCATTCCAAAGCAGACCTAAAGCAGCTGATACCATCATGCTTTTGGGAGGTGTGCTAGTTCAGTGTGGATCTGGAGAGGGCAGAAACGAGGTGAAGCCAGAGGTGATCTGACCACGACACAGAGCATCACACACTCACGGGAACAGGAAGTTTAGGTACACGTCTACATTACTTTTTTTTAACAAAAAATGATACGAGGTGTAGAAATGTTTTAAGGCTGAGGGAACTTCTCAGAGGGCAATGAGGCTCAGTTTGTCTTACTTATGAGAGGGCAAGCTATGTGTGGACTTCACTGCAGCAACTGAACACTTCTCAGGGGAGCATACTGGCTACTCAAGCCTGTCCAAGCCCATACAGTGAGAGCCAAATGCTTATATAATATAACTCTACCATCAGCATAAGACAGTTTTTATGGATTAGAGGCAATATCAGGAGGAGAGGATGAACTGGCAAGGGAACTGTATGACTGACTGGGCAGGGAAGGTGTGCTAATGTGAGACGTTGCAAGGATTCGTGTTGACTTCAAGTGCCCAACAGTGTTCTCCAAATATTGTCTCCACCCTGGAGAGAAGATGTCTGGAAGCTTGTCTTGTGGCAGGAATGGTGGCCAGTGAGACCATGTGCAGGCATCCACAGATTAGACCCAACATCACCCAAAGGTCCTTCTACAGCCAGGGGAGTGAGAGCCAGCTGAGGTGATTCAGAGGGTAGCTGGGCTGTCTTGCCCGATGCAAGTGCCCCTCTCTCTCTTGATTAACTGAATAGAACCCCAGGGAAACGATGCCCCTGATTTGGGAACATCAGTTGGGTGCTGCCATTTGAGTGTGATAGATCTGAGTCTCAGCTGTTTGCTTCTGTACTGCATGCTCTTTGGCCTTCAGAAATCACTTTTGTTTGGGTTAGATCAATGTCGTACTCATGCTGGCTGGTAATATCATCTCTCCTCTCTACTCTGGAACATCTGTGAGGTTTAGATCCCACCTGGAAGGAAATGTATGCAATCCAGATCTGTAAAAGCAGCTTGCTTTAGCCTGACAAGCCACTGAAAGTTGCTAGTGTGCATATAATATTTAGTGATATTAAAAAAATGCAAGTAGGAAATATGTGCTGCCACATGGAGAAATATGTGCTGCCACATGGAGAGATGGCAATCATCCCTCAAAACACTAAGCTCCAACTCCACACTTCCAACATCACCCAGTGGTACTTGTCTAAGACAAGAACATTAGACTGGCAAAAGACAAAGAGCCACCAACCGCAACATCCAGCCTAGAAGCTTAGTATTGACTAATGCCTGTTAGTACAGGAGATGGATGAAGGTTACCTGAGCATATAATGCCCGCATCTTCTCCATGATTGCAGTCATGGACTCCCCAAGACCTCGTCACACACTCGGAGAGGGCTGCTTCTGTACCAGAGCAATTCACATCATCCAACCAGATACGGCCAAAACCTTGCCCAAAATAAGCTGAACCAGGGGCAGACATGGCTGTCCCACAGCCCAGCTGCTGGCACACCACTGCAGCATCGCTCAAGTCCCAGCTGTCATCACAGATCGTCCCCCACTGCTGGCTGTGAAGCACCTCAACTCTCCCAGCACAACGAGTGGGGCCATTGACCAGGCGGAGAGGAGGCACTTCTGGAGTACCTGCACAAAAAGCAACGGAGAAGGATAAATGTGCACAAATACACTGCACCTGAACCCTGCTGACACATTGCAGGGGACGAGCGCCAAGCAGGGTGTCCCATGGGTGAAAAACGGATGGCTAAAGAGTATGTTTTCTGTATCCATTCAGGGTTACCCCAAAGTCTGTTTGGCTCTGAACTGCCCACAGATGGGCAGAAATGTCCCAGTTAGGACTGGGAGTGGTATTTCGGTCTCCCAGCCGGTAAGACTGTGTAGTGATAGGACAAAGGGGAATGGCTGTAAACTGAAAGAGGGCAGATTTAGATTAAATATTAGGAAGAAATTCTTAACCATGAGGGTGGTGAAACACTGGCCCAGGTTGCCCAGAGAAGCTGTGGCTGCCCCCTCCCTGGCAGTGTTCAAGGCCAGGTTGGATGGAGCTCTGAGCACCCTGGTCTGGTGGAAGGTGTCCCTGCTGATGGCAGGGGGGTTGGAACCAGATGATCTTTAAGGCCCCTTCCAACCCAAACCGTTCTATGATTCTATGATTCTAAGATATGCTAATGCATCCCTTTCAGATGGTTTGTTTGAGTCGCTGCCAATGCCATGGTGACATGGGACCCTGAGCCTGCTCTGTATAAATAGCAATTTGCTGGGCTGAGCTCTGAAATAAATAACTAAAGTTACTGACAGACAAAACCTGTGCAAAGGGAGCAATTCAGGAGCCTCCAATGAGTGTATTTTCCCATTTGAGATGCGTTGGGGCATCCTTGCCATCCTCCAGCTGTCACGTTGGAAGGATGTGGGTCTCATAGCTCCAGGGTCATATCAATTAGCCCTATCGAGATGTCTGCATACTGTAAGGTGTCTTGCGTAGCAATAGGTGCCTGTGCACAGGAACATGATGCATGCCCAAATAAGCTGAGCCACATAGGTGAAGCTTCAGAATGCCTGTCCGTGAACAGACTGGCCAATGTCCATATGCCTGAAGCTTTGTTTTGGCCTTACACATTTTACTTCAGTTACTGCAATATCCACAAAATGTGTTCTGGATAATTTTCTAGGAGAAAGCAGATTATGGTGATGTGTATTAATAGACACTTAGTCTTCCTTGGAAACTCTCATGCCTGGTAAAGCCAGCTGAATTGGACAACAAAAGGTCTTAAAAAGCATCAACCAACCCTTTCCTGAACTGAAGAAGTGTGCCAAATAAAATTAGTCAAAAGGGGAGGCTAAAATAAGGTTTTTAACAAAGGGTTTGTCCTGTCCATGGCTGAGAACCCAGCAGGGTGTGACAGCATTTCAACCAGCTCAGCTGCAGGCGTGTACTTTGCGATGTTCATGGTAAGGGAGATGACTCCTCTTGAGAGAGCACTGAGTTTTCCTGAAGTTTCTCAAAGCTCTTCATGGAAGGAATGAGGAACTCCAGGAAAGCTCTGCTAGTTTCTCACACTGACACTCCAGAAATGTAGAAAAGAATGGCTGAAAGCTGAGAAAACAGGATGTCTGTTTTTAAAGAAAATATTGGGATTGTTTAGGATTGGCCAGAAAGACTATTAGACTAGGTTTTTGAGCCTGGATAAAGACCTGCTGGTCTGACCTCATAGCTGAGCTCACTTTGAGCAGGGGACTGGTGTAGAGACTTCCTGTGGTTGCTTCAACCTGAATTATCCTACGAGCCTCCCAATTGCTTTAACAAAGGAAGAGGTTTCTTCAGGACGGCAGATGCAAGAGACACTGGAGAGAAAACTGAAAAAGCACTGAGATACAAGTGCTGTAAAGACACATTCAGTGGTTTCAGGTTTCTAAAGCTCTCTATGAATCCTGAATTGGGACGTTTTATTCCTTCTCATGATAAAGTGAAACAGACTTCCCAATCAGCCAGAGACCAAGACTTGCAACGCTGCTTAGGTTTACGTGTGATCTTCATGTAAAATTGTTGTCTTGGAGGTGACTCTGTCTATATGACACCGCAAGCCCATAGCTCAGCAGGACCAGGAACTTTCATTTCTGGGATCTGTCCAGCCTGGGAATGTCTTGGAGCCTTCGGGAGCTGAGATATGAGATACAAACCTTGATACAGCTGTCGGCTGGAGTCTTGCTGATGGTAACTCCATAATTCTGGATCAGCTTCCAGTGGTGACTGGTGACCATGACCAGGGCCATGAGCATTGCATAAATTAGACAAGAATGTGTTTATGATTAATAGCACACACTATGAGCAGCATGAGCTCAGAGGAGACCTTCCATCAAGGGTGAAAAACTTTCCTCCATGTTTCCCAACACCATTGAGACTGAGACACAGAGAGGGGTTACCTGAGCACACCACACCAGCATCTTCTCCATGCTTGCAGTTATGGGACCCCCAAGACTGGACCCTACACTCAGAGAGGGCTGCTTCGTTCCCTGTGCAGTTCACATCATCCAGCCAGATGCGGTCACGCCCTTGCCCAAAATGAGCTGAACCAGGGGCTGACAGTGCTGC